CCCTCTCATGCTCTTCATCCTAACTTGATGGATGCAGAGAAGTTAAGTTCCCCCTAAGGGGGGATAATTTACCCCCAAACCCCCTCCTCCTCCCCCACTGTACTACGCTGCTAACCCCCCTCCATTCCCCCCCTTTGCTGCGTTAAACCTTCTCCCTCCATATATAAATTTCCCATTTTAATCCCATTTAATTCAAATTATTTTTGCAATTAGTTTTAGAATAATACAGCCGCTTTCTTGAGTTTAATTTTTTTTAATAATTCTGTAAAAAAATTATCATTTTCTAAATTTTCTAGATTTTCTAGATTTTTTCTAGCTCCGATTTTGCCGTATGTATTAAAAACAAATAAAAAATTCATTCAAAAGTTGCATGATAATTAAATAATTATAATAATGGAATTATTGATCAAATATTCCACAAAAATATATTTCCCAAGGTTCATCATTTATATAAATTTCAAAATACATATTTTTTTATTTCAACCGCTCAACCGACGTCATGTAAATCGGTATCCCTTAAAACTTCGTTCACTTCATCAAGGTTTGTTTCCAGAGAAAAATTTCTCTTTGTTTCGCCCGCGCGCTGCAGAATCTTTCGTTCAGGGCAGCGGGTAACATTTTCCTGCGTTTATGTACATGCATTTCTAGGCGTAAAAAAAGATGGCGGCGCCCGTGAGAAATGAAGGAAATGACACGGGAAATGGAGTGTGCCTTCTCTGACACACTTATTTCTCTGAGAGATTTGTCTGTATGAGCTTAACAAATTGTGAAGAATGACATTCAAAAGCTTTTTGGACATTGCGCAGCATTACAGTGGCTGCTGCAGTAATGCTGCCTGTTGACTTACAGTGGCTGCTGCAGTAATGCTGACTGTTGACTTACAGTGGCTGCTGCAGTAATGCTGACTGTTGACTTACAGTGGCTGCTGCAGTAATGCTGACTGTTTGACTGTTGACTTACAATGGCTTATTTGTTTACTGTAATCCATGACTATTCTCAGCACCCTCATAATTATTTAGAAAATAAATATTTAAAATTTATTTTATTGTTTGTATATTATTTTCTATAAAATAAAATCTCTAAAATTTTGTTTATTCGACGTTTTCAGATGCAGCATCGGGCAGCGATGACGTCATTGGAGGACTAAAAATTGAAGAACAATTCGGAAAAAATGTAAAAATTTGAAGTAATTTTTGAAAATGTTAAAAAAAGTGGTGGACGGGCCACATTTCTGAAAAATTGACAATATTTGAAAAAAGTTAGATGAATATTAAAATACTGGAAAGAAAAATAAAAAGTTTAATCGCGCAGTGGAGAAAGTGATGATCAATTTTTTCGGAAAGTTGAAAGAAAATTGAAAAATTTCAAACGAATTTAAGAAAAGAACAGCCTGGAAAAAGGTTTAAGAGAAAACATTTCAGTTATTTTGAGGAAAGTTTCAAAAAATTTTTTGATTTTTCTGTTTTTTTTCTGAGAAGAAAAAATTTCATGGATTATCGTGAAGAGATACGAAATTGTGTGAAATTTTAAGGAAAACTTAACCGGAAAAAAGTTATTTTTTTAAATATTAATTAAAAAACTGTTATCATCAGAAAAAAATTTCAACCTATAAATGACATTGTAAACAATCGAGTGAGTTTGTGAATATTCTGAAAATTCAAGTTTGTGTGCGAAATTTGAAATTGGGAAAATTTTTTCACAAATTTCATGAAAATAAACAAATAAATAAATTCAACAACTCTACTTAATTAGTGATATATTATTACTAATTATTTATATTCACGAATGGAAATAAAACATTTTAATTAATATAAAGCAAAAATTTAAATTTTTGAATTAGGCAAAAATTTTAAATTTCCTTCAATTTTCAATTGAACGCCATATATAAATAACGCAATAATGATGATATATAGAAGTTCAATTTTACTGTTATTATTGTTGCTGATATTTACTGATGTTGCAAACAGCACAATAGATCAAGAAAATAACAACAACATCAACAGCAACAACAGCAACAACAACAGCAACAACAGCAACAACAGCAACAACAGCAACAACAGCAACAACAGCAACAACAGCAACAACAACAACAGCAACAACAGCAACAACAGCAACAACAGCAACAGCAACAATGCAGAAGCTGTTATTAAATTTCAAATTTTGTTCGTGCCAATCGAAAATCAAAATAAAAATTTTACCTCCAATCATGAGAACGAAAATAACGGCAACTTTCATTCTAGTAACGGGCTAACAGATCCGTTAAATAACGGGTTACCTCATTCAATAACGATGGACGTTAATGACCGTTACGGATATGAGATCATAAACAACGGGCTAAATATTCAAAATAACAGTAAATTAGTCGTTCATGAAAATGGGAACGTTAACGGGCAGTTGAATAATAAAAAACGTTCGAAAAATAACGTTCCTTCGCTGGGGAATATGTCCAAAAATAGCGTCGCGGACGCAACGTTGGCAGCGTTGATTGACGTTGAACAAATTACGAAAACGTTACCAGAGGCGACGTTAAAAACGTTGCCAGAAACGTTGTCAGAAACGTTGCCAGAAACGTGTGTGACCCAAGCAAAGGTTAACGTTTCCAAACGTTTTTCCGTCGAAGGATTTGAAAATTTGACGTCTGTGAACGAGCTGGAACGTTTCATCCAAAAAAGTGATGCAAATGAAACGTTTCCTCCTAAAGAAAATATTAGGGCGTTCACTTCTAGCGACGTTAATCAAACGGAACGCATTTCTTTACCAACGTCTGGTACGTCTGGCCCGTCTGGCACGTCTGGCACGTCTGGTACGTCGTCAGAGTACATGTACATATGCCCGAAATTGTGCACTTGCAGCTCATTGACGTCGCGGGTACGTTGTGTGTTCCGACGTCACGACGTCGTTAACGGCCAAAACAACGGGCCAAATAACGGGCTGGACAACGGTTTTGTTAACGGGCTAGACAACGGGCCAAACAAGGGGAAGGACCACGGTTTACTTAACGGACCACACAACGGGCCAAATAACGGGTTAGTCCTCGAGAATTACGAAATCGGTGAAAATTCAAGTGAAATTTCAACCCTTGATGATAAGCCCAGTGGAAATTCAACCAGCATTTATTTTCATGGAAACATCAATGATGACTTAAGGGGAATTGTAAAATTTCCGAAAAATCATGAAAACTCTCACGTTGAAAACGAAACCGAAAATTTAAATTTTCATGCGCTACTTACTGAGAATAACAGGAAAATACAATTGCCTTTCAAAATCAGGGATTTGAAAATTGAAAATTTTCCAATTTTCCAGCTACAATTCGCACATTTCCTACAAATTTTGGAAGGAATGCCGGACGCGCAGTTCGTCGTCCAAGAAATTTTTAGAAACGGGCGCGGATCCAAAATTTCGAAATCGTCGGTAAACCCAAAAATCCACGAAGCTTTATCAGGGACAAATAAGATCCCAAAAATCTTGACTGTGAGAGACCAGGTCCCCGTAACCTCGACAGGGAAAGACCAGGTCCCAAAAATCTTGTCACGGACAGAACAGGTCCCCGTAACCTCGGCAGGGACAGACCAGGTCCCTGTATTCTCGCCAGGGACACATCAGGTCCCAGTTTTCATCATACATGATCGTCGGGACACGAAAAATCCCATTTCAATCGAGCTAGGGACGGACCGCCGTCCATATCGGAAATTATCGTCTCTGGAATCATTAAGTTTGATCAAGTGCAACATTTCCAGGCTCCCGCGGGGGGCGTTCCGATATTTCAGAGCACTAAGCAATCTCAATTTATCAAACAATTCGCTCAGACGGCTGAAACCATCATCATTTATCCGGCTTTCTCATTTAAAAAAGCTGGATTTATCCAACAACCGCTTGAAGAACGTATCCAGATCCTTCAGCCATCTTCGATCTTTGGAGTATCTTGATTTAAGTAGGAATAAGATACGCGAAATTGACTCTGACATATTCGTGGGTCTCGAGAAAACTACCCATTTGGATTTAGGAAGAAACCTGATATCAAGGGTAGCCATCGGGGCTTTCCAGTCCTTAAGGGCCCTTAGAACCCTAATCCTCAAGGAAAACCCTTTGGGGACTTTGGTAAGGCTAAACTTCTTCGGGTCTAGACTCCAGATACTAGACTTGACCCATATCGGTATCCGGCAAGTCCCACAGGTGGTAACTCCAAGTATCAGGATCCTCAAGATCGCCGGTAACAACCTTCGGGTAATCCAGAGAGGTGACATGGATTCATACCCTTACTTGACGGAACTGGACTTGGAGGAATGTGGCTTAGAATCCATCGAAGAAGACACCCTAGGTAGACATGAGTACCTCACCAAGCTGTTACTAGGGGACAACCTCTTGCAGGAGGTGCCAGAAAGTTTACCCGTTTCTCTTCTGGAACTCCAACTCAACCGAAACAACATTTCAACCTTAAAATCTTCCAATTTCAGAGGACTACTCGCATTGGAACAACTTTTTCTCAATGAAAATTCTATTTCTGTAATAGAAAACAACGCTTTTTCAGAACTTTCCAGCCTCAAAGTTCTAAGTTTACGTAAAAACAACATCAGGCATATCGCTGGCAAAGTTTTCCAGGCGCTTGGAACTTTGACTTCACTTGAGTTGTCTGGAAATCCAATATCAGTTCTAGATCAAGAAACTTTTTCGGGGTTAAGGCAACTTCGGGTACTGCGTCTGCGCGACTTAGGGTTCAAATCGAGGGTTCAAATCTCCGCCGGTGTTTTTTCAAGTCTCCGCTCCTTGGAGTTGCTGGATCTGGAAGGATCTCCAGATTTGTGTCGGGGCTTATTGAATTTTGGAGATCTGAAGGATCTGAGTTCCTTGCGCGAACTTTACTTAGGAACTTGTGGAGTCATGGAAATGTCGCAGGGTTTCAGAAATGGTTTAGAAAATGGTGCAGGACTCGGTTTAATAAATGGTTCAGGGAATGGCATTAGAAATGGTTCAGGAAATGTTTCAGAAAGTGGATTAAGAAATGGTTCAGGAAGTGGATTGAAAATTGGTTTAGGAAGTGGATTAAAAATTGGTTCAGAAAGTGGATTAAAAATTGGTTCAAAAAATAGATCAAGAAATGGTACAGGATCTACTCCATCGCTAGCAGCTGAAGTGGATTTAAGTGAAGTGGAAAAATTAAACCTAAATGAGGCTCGAGTTGAACGCTTTCGAAAGTTGGAACTGCTTCAGAAGTTGAAACGAGTTCAAAACAAGTTGAAACGAAGCGACGGGTCGATAGACGGGCAAAGCAACGGGCTCATGGGTCGTGGACCGTCAGACGGACCGACAAACGGGCCGGTCAGCGCTCTGAAAGCGACGGCTGTCAGCGAACGGGCGCTGAAAAACGTCCTTGTCAGCTCGACTGAAATGAAATGCGGCGACCCGACCGTGGACCCAATGACCCCGCGGGGGGAGAAGTGAGTTTTTATGTTACGCATTTCACATTATATTACATTATATTATATTATGTTATATTATATTAATTTTTATTATATCATATTATATTATATTACATAAATTAGGTAGATCAATATAAATGAGGTTAAGTTATACTGTATATCCTAACATATCCTTTCACCCTCTTTCCCCCTCTNGTCGTCACGGAGTAATTAAAATTTTAACACAGTGCAAGGTTAAAGAAGCTCAGTAATTTAACCCTTGAAAAAATCGGTGGTTTAAGGAGGGTAAAGTCGTTTTATAAGTTAATGGTTATGGTATTAATTCTGTATTAATGGCTGAACTCGACGTTAATGCATGTCTTACATAAAAAAGGTTTGATGAAACTGATTAAAAATTGCATGGCGAGGGAAATGGGTGGTTCCACTAGTGACGGTGAGGGAAATGGGTTACTCAAAGAAATGGGGAGATTTTGTTAAAATAGCGTTGCTTTTTCTGCTCTTGTAAGCCACGTGTAAAACTGCATCATTATCACGTGCAAAAAATGTGTCGCTATTTAAACAATTTTACCCATCCGTTTTTCTCAGTGGATAGTTCGCCAATTTTTACCATTAATAAATCTAACAGCAGCATCCCTCATGCCCAAATGATGTAATTCTTAATTAAAAAATCCTAATTGTTTATATTTAATTCTTATTCTTAATTATAGTATATTAATGATCGTATTATTATTATTATTACAATTATTTATTTATGTCTTGTTTTCTACTGCGCGTTTAGGAAGTTGCTGTATCGAAATTTCTGACTGACGTGTCACGTATATATTATACGTTGGCAGTAATATGAATATATTCCAGAAATAACATATAATATGTTTTTATTTTTTTTTATTAAAACATAATATTTATGTTTTATAAAATTAATATAGACAACATTCTTGAACATCTTGATAGGGAATATTTATTGTATCTACATTTATATATTTCTGTATTATTCTATCTTAGATTGTTTATTATAATTTTAATATTATTAAAAATTATTTATCTCATATTTAATTATTTTAATATATAATTCATATCCTTAATCAAATATTTAATTAATCTAATTCGTAGAAAATACAAAAAATATGATTTTTTGTACCGATATTCACTTATTCATTCGTATTGATGTTTGAAAATGTATATGAATTAAATAAGGCTTTTCGTGTTTATTTTGATGAATAAAAGTGAAAATTCTACATGAAATTCATAATTATGATAATTATGATAATTATCATAATTATAATATTTATGATAATTTCCGCTGTATGGAAATAAGTTTTGTAAGCCTGATGTCCCCCATTATAATATATGCGACGCGACTCATCCTCACCCTTGTCTCGCTATCCTGAGTAACGCGCGTGGACATCCATGTAATATCCATTGGGATATCGTCCGTGGATATTAGGTATTAACTGCATACAGAAAAATAAATGGACATAATTGTCCAAATAATGAACCACTTACTCACCCACAGCACGTAGCACTGATACGGTCTGTTGCCGGGCTAAACTGGGTCAGGATGACTCACACAAGTGCAAGAAGTGCGTGGCAATTTGGACAAAATTATACTAATTTATATGAGTGTCTTCGTTGTGATTCTCTACTGCTCTCGTTCTAAAAAATCAGCTTTTTTAGATTTTCAAATAAAAAGTTATATTACATTATTTATTAATAGATAAATTATTAAATAAATTGAATTTGTTATATATCACCTTCTATTTTTAAATTCGGTTCGTCCAAGAAAATCAATTACAAAACTAAAACAATTTACATAACATGAATTCAGAGACTGAAATCGAGTGCAGTTATTGAGATATTTTCACAGAACTAAAAGGCAAAAAAATAATCATGAACCTACCGAAAAAAACGCGTGCCAGCACATACATTGTACTCAAGTACTTTTAGAACAAATATTCAGAACTGAACAAATATTCATGTAGAATATATCGCACATTTATATTTAATATTTTTATATTAAATATTCAATATTTAGAAACGAACTACAGCCGGCACCGAACTTAGGTCAATTGCTTTGGCTGAAATCAATTGCCATTGAACTGCGTATATACTACACAGGCCAAAGCGGACAATATATTTTATAAATAATAATAAAATTGAATTAGTCACTCAAGACCTGACCATTTCTTTGCAACGAGATGGAAAATTATACAGGGTGATTCACGAAAACTTCCTGTTATGTATGTAGCGTCATGCAGCCAGATGTTGTGGAAAAAGGGCGGAAAATATTTCATATGAAAACCAAGGTCATGAAGTTTTGTGTCCCGCCTAGTCAGTTGCTACAATGCATTGGTCAAGTGAGCAGCGTGCGTTTGCTGTCGAGGCGTATTTTTCTAATGGCCGTTCCATTATAGCTACTCAACGAGCATTCCATACTCGGTTTCGTATTCGTCCTTCAGGTCGGGTTCCTGATATTAAATCGATTGTTACGTGGGTGAACACATTTATGGTAAGTGGAAATGTTATTTTTATGAGGTTATCTTGAATCAATTGTTTACAATGACTGTCCAAGGACCATACCTCATGTGAAGAACAACATACATCAAGCCATCGCCAACATACCCGTTAATTTCCTGCAGCGAGTTGAACGGAACATCGAAAATCAAGTAACTGAATGCATTGAGAATAGCNGCCAAGAGATACTCCACTCAGCCAAGAGATACGCCACTCGGCCAAGAGATACGCCACTCAGCCAGGAGATACGCCACTCAGCCAAGAGATACGCCACTCGGCCAAGAGATACGCCACTCAGCCAAGAGATACGCCACTCGGCCAAGAGATACGACACTCAGCCAAGAGATACGCCACTCAGCCAAGAGATACGCCACTCAGCCAAGAGTTAAGCCACTCTGCAGGTCCAGGCCGGCCAGCTCAGCCACTCCATCGCTGTGGCTCGTGGCGGCAGCAGCGGCGCATCTTCGCAGGTGAGCCACTGTGGCCGAAGTGGCATATGTGGCCAGTGTGGCCAATGTGGCTTATGTTGGCTGTTAGTGAGCCTAATTACAATTACCGGAGAAATTCAAGCGTGTCCAAGATTTTTGTTCACATTTTTTTCGAAAATCGCCAAAGAAAATAAACATCAAATCGAGCAATAAGTCATTTTCTTTCGTATAAAGCCAGTCGACATTTATAAATATTTACTATGCAATATTCTTCCCATACTTTATATCAATCATTCTGATAATTGATTAAATAATTAGTTTAGTTAATTAGTTAATTATTAATCATTATCCCACCTATAACCCTCAGTATCCAACCTTTATCATCTCTTTTCCCCCCTTTATCATCTTTTTATCCCACTTTATCCCCTTTCCACCTCTCTATCCCTCGCAGGCAATATGACGTTCTCAAGGATAGATACCCGGTTCTAAAATCACTCCCCCTTCATCACCACTCTACCCCTCTTTTATCCTCTATTTATCCCTTTTTATCCCCTTTATACCTCTCTATCCCTCACAGGCAACATGACGTTCTCAAGGATAGACTCCTGGTTCGACAATCTGTGGGACAGAATCCGCGGCGCGAATGACGCAATCCGCGCGGCTGAAACCAAACCGGAGGTCGTGGTCATCCCGACCCCTGCGGCCTCTGGAGACCGAAACCGGCCCGCGACCAACGAGATTGGTAGGTGATGCCCGGTCATATATCGGCTGTAAGCTGACCCTGAAGCGGCCCTAAACCGGCCTTAAACCGGCCCTAATCCGGCCCTAAACAGGCCCTATACCAAAGGGTTACGTGGTTGAAACCCGGCCATAAACAGGCTATAAACTGGCCTTGAACCGACCCTAAACCGGCCTTGAACCGGTCCTAAACCGGCCCTAAACCAAAGGGATCGATGGTTGAAACCCGGCCATAAGCCGGCTATAAACCGGCTGTAAATTGGCCCTGAACCGAACCCATATTAACGGGATCGGTGGGTGAAACCTGGCCGTAACCGACTTTAAATCGGCTGTAACGTTGACAGAAAATACCGGCAGTGATTCTCTTTTCTCAGAAAAAAAGTTATAAGAAAATAATTGAAGTGAGGATGAAGGTAAAAACTTAGATATTAAGAACCTTTTACTTATACAATAGCTTGGAGAACTCTTTTTAGGTGACATCATAAACATTTACGTTTTAAGATGACTAAGAATTTTTTATGTCTTATGAACACATTAAGAAATTTTTACTTTACCCCAGGAGTTCAGTTTACCCCAATAGTTCAGTTTACCCCAAGAGTTCGGTTTACCCCAGGAGTTCAGTTTACCCCAGGAGTTCGGTTTACCCTAAAAGTTCAGTTTACCCCAGGAGTTCAGTTTACCCCAGGAGTTCAGTTTACCCCAGGAGTTCAGTTTACCCCAGGAGTTCAGTTTACCCCAAGAGTTCAGTTTACTCCAGGAGTTCAGTTTACCCCAAGAGTTCAGTTTACCCCAGAAGTTCAGTTTACCCCAAAAGTTCAGTTTACCCCAAGAGTTCAGTTTACCCCAGGAGTTCAGTTTACCCCAAGAGTTCAGTTTACCCCAAGAGTTCAGTTTACCCCAGGAGTTCAGTTTACTCCAAGAGTTCAGTTTACCCCAGGAGTTCAGTTTACCCCAGGAGTTCAGTTTACCCCAATGCGAAATTAAATTTTTTTACTTAGCTACCAATAATGCGATTTTGTTTACAAATTCTTCGAATCTAATTAATTGGCCAATATTTAATAATTAGGAGCACATAATTCTTATTAATTAGTCATAATATTAATTTCAGCATTTAAAAAAACTTTTAAATTAATAAAATCTTTAAATTAATTTCTCGTCAAGAACTTTCCTACTTTTTCGAATAAATGTTAAATGATTTAAATTTCATTTGATTTTAGTTGGATCAACTTAAATAAATTTAAAGTTGAACGGAAAGTTTCAGCTCTATACTTTCCGATGGAATTATTAAGAACAGAATTTTATTTCAATGAAAATTCGATTCATAGAAAATTTAAACATTAATTGAATGTTTAACAATCAGTTGAATGTTTAAACATTAATTGAAAGTTTAAACATTAATTTAAAATTTAAACATTAATTAAAAGTTTAAACATTAATTTGAGGGCTAAACATTACTACAAAGTTTAAAAATTAAATCAAAGTTTAAAATTTAAAGTTTAAGAAGTTTATACCTGTATACCGAAACGCTAGGACCAACAGGATCTATTACAAAAGTCCTATTGTGCTCCATTTACTTAATAATAATTTTTTTACAAGATTTTTTGATAAATGAAAATCGCTTTTAATCGGTAGTGTTGCTTCAAATATTTACTTTCATGAAAATCTAAATTTTCTGATAAAATCTAAATTGCATTTTTTTTATAAAAGCATTTTTTGGTATACGCATTTTTTACGTTTACCGTTTTTTAAATATTATTTTGGTAAACGAATTTTTGGTGAATGTATTTTTGGTTAAAACATTTTATGCATAAGCATTTTTTGAAATACATTTTTTGGTAAACACATGTTTCGTTGAACTAAACGCATATTTTGGTAAACGCATTTAAAAGAACGAAGAAACAACAAATCCTTAAAACTGGTAATTTTTTCTTTAATTTATAGATGGCGTCCATATTCAGCTTTGACAAGTCCTTGAACCTAAATTTTAGTCCTTGAAGCTATAATTTTAGTCATTGAATACAAATTTTATTCCTCGAACCTAAATGTTAGTCCTTGAACCCTTAATTTTAGTCCTTGAAGCTAAATTTTAGTCCTTGAAGCTAAATTTTATCCCTTGAACCTAAATTTTGGTCTTTAAAACGGTTAATTTTTATCCTTGAAGCTAAATTTTACTCCTTGAAGCTAAATTTTGTCCTTAAACAGTTAATTTTAGTCCTAGAACCTAAATTTTAGTCCTTAAAACGGTAAAGTTTGTCCTTAAAATAAAGATGGTGCCCTTGTTTAGCTTTGACGAGTCCCTGAACATTTATTTTTTGTCCTCAGAGCAGACAATTTGGCCCTTAGACTAAATACGGTGCTGTTTTTCGGCTTCGGGGAGTCAGTAAAAGCCTTAGTTTAGTCGTAGAGGTCAATTTGATCCTTAAATTGAGCCTTTATTAACTTTTGGCGCGTCCTTAGCCTTAGTCCTTAGAATTGTTTATTTTGTCCTTAAACTAACGATGGCGGTCTTTAATTAGTATCGCCTTAGTTCTATTTAGATTTAAAAGCGAGACAAAGAAGTCCTAAATTGTCTAAAAAAAAGACCTAAAATGCATCACTAACAAACTTTTAAATTAAAATTTAATTTCAATTTCCTTTTATTTTAACTTTAATTTAAACGCAACGCAATTTAATGCTATACATTAAATACAAAAATATGAAATATTCCATTTTCATTAAAATAAGATTATGCTAACATAAATTAATTTCCTGAATTACACAATTATCATTTAATAAATTATGATTTTAATATCACTACCTAATCAGTATCGAAAACCAGGGTAAAAAGAATAGAAATTCCCCAGATCAGGGAAATTTTGTTCTTAATTACCCTATATTTCAGGGGTATTTTTTTCAAACATTGCAGTTATTTTCGCAATTTTTTTAATATTTGTATTATTATTCAGTGAAAAATATTGCCCACAAACATTATCTTATCTCGCAAAATTAGGTGCTAACGAGCCTTGGAGTGTCGCAGTGTTGCCAAACAAGCTCCCCTTATCCCGCTATCTGCCCAAGGTTTCCTGTGTTAGCGGGAAACCCGCCAGATAGCCTAGTTTTGGACGCGTCGGAGTCAACGACTTTTTTTGTGGCTTGTGAACGTAAAAAAATTACTGTTGAAATTATTAAAAAAATTAAATAACTTTGCAATATTAAAATAAAATATCATTGGAGAATTTAATGCAAAAAAAAAAAATACTTGATTGAAATAATGAAAGTTTGTATGAATGATGTATAGATTTGTTCTGTATGTCTTGTGTGTTGTTGCATTAAACAAATTTAATTCACATTTTATATATACTTAATAAAATAACCGAGTTTCGAGGACATAAATAATAATTTTGCATCAATAAAAATTTTTATTATAAATTACAATAATTATGAGCGACCCCAACCCCTTCACCCTCTTCCCGCCCCTCCTCTAACCTGCCTTGCATAATTTCAGCCTAACTCCACTCTGCCCTCAAATTTTTATTTGGTTATTATTAATTATTATTTATAAATTAATTTAGCTATCCCATTTAGCAAGTTTATTGCAAGCACTCATAGAAATAAGCATGACTTTGTCTAAAATATCGATGCACTTTAGCCCTTATGTGAGTCATCCTGACCCAGTTTAGCCCGGCACAAGGCCGTATCAGTGCTACGTGCTGCTCTCCATTTGGACAATAATTTTTTCTGTAAAGGAAAAATTATATATTATATTTTAATATACATATATTTATAATTTAATATTTTTTTCTATTACAAAAAGTTGTAAAAAATATGAACTTGGAATAAAAGAGTTCTAAAAAGAGTTTTTTCTATTTATAAGAAATGTAAAAGTAAATTCCAGCATATATTACAAATTTCAACCTATTACAACACTTCTCTTTGTCTTCACTTCTTGTCTGTCTGTCTGCTACAAATCTTGTAATCAAAATTTAATACACTTCTACTTATCCTATCGATCTGAAATTTTGCGCACTTGCGTAAAGTTGGAGACAATGCAAGAATCAAATTACAAAATATATTATTTTAAAAATTATTTTTTTTTTATAATAATAAATTGAAAAAATAATTATGTCAGCCACAAATCCTATAACTGATATTTGACACATTTTTAGCTGTCCAATTGATCTGGAATTTTGCACCCTTATGTGAAGTCGGAGGCAATGCATGAATCAATTGACAGAATAAATAAT